TACCGTGATATAAATTTTTGGTCATACCGCCCAGCACTAATATAATGTAAAACACTGTTCATTAATATAAACTAGTGGTTCTCAAACAAGGGGCCACAGGATGACTTAAAATGGTTTAAAATTACATTTGTTTTTATTTTAAAATAATCAGATTTATTTTAAATGCTAAAAACAAAAAAAAACAAGATGAATATTGTGTTGTACAAGAGGCTAAGAACCACTGATATAAACAAGCATGGTGTAACATAAGCAAATCATCATGGCCATAATGTAATAATTCTCTCTAAACTCTCACTAAATCCTGCAAGCATTGGATAGTTTTCTTCAACCAGAATTTTAGCAGCCAAGAAGACCATATAAGACACTTGGTGGCAAAAATGTCAAGAGCATAATGTGAAATCTACACTGCCCTCTGGTGCCACAACAGTGTCATTTCAATATTGACCAGATGACTGGATGACAAAAACACAAGTTTATGTGGATGGATTGGCTCATCAGTAATAATATAAGATATTTGCATTGCTATTTGTGTCATAAGTGTCACATGTGTCTGTGTGTAGGGATCTGGAGCAGTATGTGGAGACACTGAGAACTGACTCCAGCCCTGCTGTGTCTCAGAGAGCCGTGACGCTGAAGGAGGTAGAGGAGGGAGCTGTCAGTCTGAGGAAGGTGGGCGAGAACCTGGCTGGACTGAAAGGTACAACAACATAAATTACTCACTGAAATACCTCAGACAAACTAGGAAGGAAAATCCTCCTACTTAACTCTCAGTCGTGTTTCATGACGACCGACATGCGTAAACAGGTTAAATGTCAGACGCTTTCCCAGCTGATGATGACACAGTTTATTAGCAAAAAATCATGTTTTTCCTCCAGGGGAGTTTCCAGCTCTTCAATCCCGTATGCGGGCGGTGCTCAGGGTGGAGGTGGAGGCTGTTAAGTTCCTCAAAGAAGAGCCGCACAAGCTTGACAGCATGCTGAAGAGAGTCCGAACCCTCACGGACACACTCAGCAACCTTCGCAGGTACAGACAGAGAGAGAAAGAGCTTGAGACAGACGTTTCAATTGCGAATATAATAAGATTGTTGTTAATAAAATACTTTACGACAAACTTTATGGATCTGTACACCTGCTGATTCCAGCCACGTATCCGAGCAGCCAGACAGAGCGTTATGGAAATGAATATGCAGTTTCTGTTCTCCATCTTTCGTTCATATTGTAATCATGTGTGAGCAGAGACTCTGTATAGGTTTAGACAGTTGAGAGATCTGGAGCATCTGCTGCTAGTCACTTCCTTTCTCCTCCGTGTCAGACCTGATCAGACTCAAGCCGGTTGCCGTTCTCTGTGAATGTGCGAATGCAATGAATATTACCAGCACTCTGGAAAATAGTGTTTTGTTTCTGAAGCTGCTGCGTGTTTCTGCTCCGCTAGCGGCCGGCACCAAATGTAATTGCAAAACTAAACAGATTTTTACACTTTCTAATGAAAATGTGTGTGAAATAGGTGGTCGCTAGTGTGTTTCGGGTGGTTTCTAATTGGTTACTTATTGGCCCCAAGTCAAAAGTTTTATGATATGGCTCAAGTTTCTTCTTCTGTGGTAGTCACTAGGATTGTAATGTCCATTTTGTTATCTGCCAATCAGGCGATAACCCCAAGTTCAAATTAAATTACACCGACTTATTTCCTCTCTTTTTCTTTTTTGTATATTCCTTTTTTATTTATATATTTTTTTTAACTTAAATTTAATTGCATTGTATTTTATATAATGTAATTAAATTGAATTACTGGCATTAATTTAATGTAATTAAATTGAATAGGATTGTATTTTAGATTTTATGTTACATCATATTTTACTTGCTGATTTTTTTTCTTGTTATTAATTTTATTTAAATTAAATTACATACCTTTTTTCTCTCTTTTTCTTTTACCCTTTCTTTTTTAATTAAATGTTATTTCTATTCTTTTTCTATTCTAGCTATTTTAAATGTATTTCTAATTTTATTTGTTTTTATTTTTAAATGTTAACATTTATATTTATTTTTATATTTATATATTTTTTATATAATAGGTGTATAATAATTTATTAATTTCAAATACTAGAAAATTACTAAGGTTCATAGTATTCATGTTGGTAGCACAAACATTCAGTTATGAGGTTGCTCAAAACATGTTATGTTATGTGCAGTACAAATAGGACTCTGAAATGTTCTGAAAGCTCCACAGAGCAACCAGAGAAATTTTAGGAGTATTTTAATAATTTTTTTAAAATTACAAACTGCAGCTTTTACTCCTTAAAAATATTTTAGAGATGATAAAAATAAGCTCATGATTTTAAATTTGGTTAGATTTGACTGTATTGTGAATGTTTTCTTTATTGATTTCTATTTGATTTCTCATTTATTCTTTAGGTCTGCCACAGAAAGCCTGCTGAAGCCCTCTGACCCTGTTTCCTCAACACCTGCCTCTGAAAAACCAGAATCAGCTGTGGTTGAATCCCTCAAGACTGCCTCGGTTGCACCTCAGAGCTCCACAGTGAGGTCAGAGGTTATGACGTCAAACCCTGTGGTGATCCACCATGCCCAGGCCTCTCCGGTAGCTTCACAACAATCCCAGCAATCAACAGCACCCTCACCCATTCCCTCTGCCGCACAAAGACGAGAGTCTACCCCTTCACCCACCAAACAGCTCAAAAAACCCTCACTCGAGCAGACACTAATACCAAATAACAGCAGTAATGGAGTCTCTTCTAATGGCATTCATGGCAAAGGTCCTTCTACAAACTTCATTGAGGAGATCCACGCAAGCCGCAGCAAGAACAAGAACAGAGCTGTGTCAATAGAGGTGAGTATTGTGCATGTTAAACCAAATGAATGAGGTGAAATTGTGCATTCCATTATTTAGTTACTCGTTTGATTGGTATCTTCAGGCGGCAGAGAAAGAATGGGAGGAGAAGAGGCAGAACATGGGTCATTATGATGGGCAGGAGTTCGAACGGATGCTCCAGGAAGCAGAAGCCAACATGCTGAGAGGAATACCAAACCTTGAGGTGCCCAGCGAACCTGAGGGCTCCCCTACAGTGGTTCCTGCCTCCCTGGAGGAGGTGGTAGAAAAAAATGAGCCCACAGCAGCACCAGCAGAGCAGGGTAAGAGACTGAAAGACACACCAGAGCTCTTGAGACTACTGTTTGGCGATGTTTATGCTTAATTTTGTTTCTGCAGATGACAATCAGCCAAATTCTGAGAAACCTACTAAGACTGCTCCAGAGAAACCTCCCAAACCTCTGGAGAAACCAGTCAAGTCAGCTTTGGAGAGACCTCTTAAACCCAACCTATCCATCAAATCCAGCCTAGAGAGACAAAGTAAGACTCAGGAAAAAGTTGTTAAGCTTCAGACCACAGAGAAAGCCAACAAGTCTCCTCCTCCACCCCCACCTCGACGAAACTACACCACCAATACCGGGATGACCACCACCCGATCTGGAGAGGTCATTTACACCAGCAGGAAGGAGTCTGTTATGGTACAAGTGTGTTTGCAGGATATATATGTGTATTATTGATATATATATACTTTGTCTGTACAAATAAAATAAAAAAAGATAAACAAACATAATTACATGAACTTTTAATTATATTTTTAAATAACTATTAATATAAATAGTAAAAAATAAATAAATATAGTTACATGAACTTTTATTTATATTTGTAAAAAATTATAATAAATTAAATATATTAATTTTAATTTTAATTGTAGTTCTATTTTCAAATAATAATTATTATAAAATGAAATAATAATATAAAATAAATTAAAAAATTATTATATAAAATGAAATAATACAATTAAAATATAAATATAATTAAATGAATATAACTTGTTTCATAGGAGGGTGAAGAGGAGTCCAACAGTACAACATCTCAGCCTGAACCAAAATCCTCTCCAGAGGTGAAGCCCAAACCCATTACTCCTCCACCTATCGCTGCCTCGGCTATTACTGAGGAAGACGATGAGGGAGACAAGATTATGGCAGAGCTACAGGTGAGATACACATATAAACTCAAACATACATACACATGCACACTAATACAGACTTGTAGCAAGCATAACTTCATGTTCCTAATGGGTATAAATGTTTATACATGCACATGCTCACTTACTTTCACTAACTATAGGTGTTTTGGTGTTTAAATGTATTGGGTGTGAAATTGCTTTGGTGTGGGTGTTAAGATGCTTTGGGTGTGCCGTGTGGCTCATTCGGTGGCAGTTTCATTTCCCTTGCAGTAGATTAGCTTCTTTTCTCACAATTCTATAAATTCACAACAATAGTTCTCATAAATTCTTTAAAAAAGAAAACAAAACAGCCTTTTAAAATGATACACATATGCATACATGCTTAATAGGACAGAAAGTGTAAAATGTAATCCAAATATATGTAAAAATAAAAATATATGTAAAAAGAATTGCATATAAATAAAAATTATAATACTAATATAGACAGACCGATAGATAGATAGATAGATAGATACATTTTTGTCATTTAATTTTAATGACAATAAAAATGTATATAGGCAGATAATCTAATCTGATTTGATTAAACTAATTGTAGATAATTTCTATTACATTGTACAGTAATCTTGAACAGGTTTGCCCAATTTACTATGGGCAAATTCTAATCTTTTACCCCCTTCCTCACAAATTCTTCTCTTCAGGTTTTCCAGAAGTGCTCTTTTAAGGAGGTAGGGCTCAAGGGTTTGGTAGAGCCACAGATCAAAGAGCTAAGACCTGGGGTCTTACTGCCCCTTAAAGATAAGAAGGTAAAGGATATGATGTCCTTTAGTAGACCCTCCAACTGCCTGCCTGTGCCAGCCACTTGTCCCTGATGGCTGTTCTTTGCAATGCTTGTATGGCTTTCTTTCCCTTTGCTAACTTCCTCTGTACACTCTTGTGATGGGTATCTGACATCAAAAATGTTCTCACTGTTCTTTAAGTTTAAATCCTGTTCCTTTCCTTTTATTTCTGCTGAACTCATGAACTGTGCTGATTGTAGTGATGTAGTGTGAGCCAAAAGGGGAAACAGATATGATTGGGTTTATGTGCTCCGAGTCATCCAATCAATAAACCAGATTTTCGACACTCTGCTGTCAAAGGGTGTTGTGTGTGTGTTTTCTTTTTTACATTTAGCATTTTAATAAAAAAAAAAAGTGTGATCTCAATTGGAGACAATTCAATTTCCGAAGCTTACCTGAGGTTGCATTTATGCTTTACAATATACATTTACAGGTTGAGTTATCTAACTGGGCGTAGCATAATCAAATTGTCCTGGGCAAAATGTAAGCAATTTAGCAGACTTATGAGAAATTATCAGGACCTACTTTACTGTGCACATCTAGTTTTTTCTTTAAAAAGGGTCAGTGTCTAAATCATATGTATCAGTAGAAAGCAACTTAGAATTGGTTTGTTATTGAGGATTTTAGAGGACACTTTCAGCTAGCAGTCTGGAGTTCAGAATTTGTTCTTTGATCTTCTCACTTTGCTGCATGCCTGCTACTGTATAAGCCTCCTTACTTATTTAATGGGTTTTCAGTCTCACTTTCTCTCTTTACCTTCATTTTCACAGTATTTTCTCACTGTCAAAAGTTGTGCAGTGTAATATAGAATTTACAGGTGAAATATAACCAATAAGAACCTTGTTATGCTCAAAATTGTATTCAAAATGGAAAAAGTTGGAAACTGTTGGTACATGCAATACAAATTTAAAATGACATTTTCATTGTTCGTTTCCCATTTCTTGTGTATAATTTTGAGCTGTTTTCTCAGATTCGTTCACAAATGCCTTACTGTAGGTCTAGCTCCAGATTATGATTTTAATCCCATGAAGTTTGTTTTTTATTATTAATCCCATTCATTGCATATTTTAAAATATGATTATTACTGTAGAGAAAAGAATTAGTCTTTATGTACAGCTGTAACATATTATTGGTATCATTAAGGTTAGAAACATATTTTATGACAATGCTTAATATTAAAAATATTTTTGAAATATATGGTAGAATATATGATCCAAGAATGTGTTGCGTCAAAAGCAACCTATATGTTTTCAGTGGTCTTAGAGTAGCTTATAGACTGCGGTTGATTCTTTGTGAAGTGATGTTGTTTCCCAACAAACCACAGAATACTGAAAACCAAGACGACAAGAACCCTGACACAGATGAGAATGGCAACAATACAATTCGTCAGAGTCCTGGGGTGAGCTGCAGTGTTTATTATCACAGTTACACAGTTATTATAAACTTATTATAAACCCCTAAAAAAAAGTAATCATGGTATGATAGTTTGAGCTCTATTTAAAAAAAAAATCAGTCTTAGTGATGACTGGTCATTTAATAGTTAAATGAACCCCATCACTAAAATAGTTATGTAATAGTGTTCTGTGAATCCCCATAAAGACTCACTAATGGCCGTGTCAATTGTAGAATATGATTAATACCAGGTAGGATTACTAACAAATTTATATTTGGCTCATGAAACTATACCTAATTGAAATTTCATTTTTTCTTTTCTGACCTTTGACCATTTAAGGTCATCTACTATGTCACAGCTCAGATCTCCAAGGGAACTCCATCAGCCTCAGAGGAATCAACAGAACGTAGAGACGCATCACTGTCTCCCCCATCACAGGTGTCACATGTCAATGCTTCTGACCAATGCCAAAGCCAGCTACAGGTATCCACTAACAAATTTGGCGCCCTCAAAAGTAGCGGTCCAGCCAGCTCTTCTATCACTCTACAACAAAATCAGCTGCCTCGTTCAGCCTCGTTGAAGTCAAATCCACCCTCTCCACTGGAAGAAGTTCCAGCTAGCCCAACCCAAGGGAAAGTTCATGTGGTCAAGGCTGCCCAAGTGCAGGTTAGCATAGAGGAGAGGGTAGAGTCTCCAACAGCAATTTGCTCACCAGTCTCTTTTGAAAACACTGCACCGATTCTTTCTAAAGCAGTCCCTGTTGGGACAGATTTAGCAAATCAGAAATTTATATTTGGTTCATCCAAGGTGAAGGAAAAGAAATTTGAGGAAATGGAGGAAAATAATGAGGCCTCTCTCAGTCCCGATCTGTCAGGAGAAGAGCCACCTCCGCCTCCTCCTGATAACTTTGCCTTTATGATCACTAACACCAAGGTACAAGCCCTTTCCACTGGTGAGTACCATCAGCTAGTCAATGCCAAGAAAGGTAATGTGCAGACAGTTACTGTTGGCAACAAACGACCAAGTGCTTCTGAAAGTGGCATGGCATCAGGAGGTGATGCCAGTATTAATGGTCCTACTGGTGCTGACAACGGCAGTAAAAAGCCAGTCATCATAATCTTTGACGAGCCAATGGATATCCGCTCAGCTTATAAACGCCTCTCTACTATCTTTGAATGTGAAGAGGAGCTAGAGCGGATGCTTGCAGAAGAAAGAATAGATGAGGAGAGTGAGGAAACTGAGGAAGAAGAATGGACTAAGGGAGTGCAGGTCAAACAGAATGGAGATGGTAGGGATTCTGGAAAAAGTACTGGTTCAAATTCTCCTGCAGATATCACAGATGGTCAAGTCAGGAACTCTTCTTCATCCTCATCTTTATCTGAGGGAGGGGCATTAGTAGACGTTGCTGGTGACGCAAAGCAAGATGGAAAGAAGAAGTTCAAGTTTAAGTTCCCCAAGAAACAGCTAGCAGCATTATCGCAAGCCATTCGAGCTGGAAGTAAAACAGGCAAAAAGACTTTGCAGGTTGTCGTCTATGAGGATGAGGAAGAGTCAGATGGGACTGTCAAACAACACAAAGAGACCAAGAGGTTTGAAATTGCTTGCTCCAAAACAGAGTCTTCAAAATCAAATCAGCAGGAACCTAATGGACGAACTGACGAGATTCGTAAGAATACCTACAAAACCCTTGACAGTCTAGAGCAAACCATAAAGCAGCTAGAGAACACCATTTGCGAAATGGGACCGAAGTCTTCGGAAGAGCCTGAAATATTGGTGCACCCTGGAACTCAGGACAATAGGACTGAAGAGAGTCCAGGGCACTCAGAGAAAGGACTTTCTCCCAAAATCTTGGTTCCAAGGTCGACTTTTGCCAGTAAAGGTCCTGGTCTACGAAAGAAGACAAAGCCACAGCTCCTTCCTCGGCCTGCCATCATACCAACTACTGGGGTCTCAGTCACACCAGTTCCCACCCAGCAGGTCTCTCTCTAGCTCCTACTACCTTAGCAAAGACTATGGGTCTGTCCTTCTCCTCTTGTTCACAACAGTTCCACCCTATCCAGTGACTTCTGAAGATCCTTAGCCTTTCCTGCAGTGGAGGCTACCAACTCTGGGATCTGAACTTTTTAACACCTTCACATATTTTAATAAATATGGTGTGTTTATTTCTGGAGTGGTGTGTCATAGATAGACCTTTGTGTGTTCACTGATGGTGCTCTAATCTTGGGTTAAGGCAGCCAACAACTTTCACCGTCTTAGAACCACAGTCTCACACTGTTTCTGAATCCTTTTTGTGGGTTCTAAGGCAGTCCTTAAAGAAATTTGTTGGTATTCTGGGCTGGTTTGCATGCGTCCTTATTTCTCTTTCTGGTACACAAACTCTACAATGTCATGGTGATACCACACAGATGTGTTGTGCAAGCTTTGTCTTGCTGTGATTTAGCTTACAAACCACCTCAAATATGGCTCTCTTTTTGTTTCTTTCTTTTTATTCCTTTTCTCTTCTGTTTGGTTTAAATCCTTTTTGCAGAATGCCAGCGTGGTCTCACCTACTAGTCGGATGCCGGTGCCTGTTTCTGCCAAGGCGCGGCAGCAACCGGGCACCTCAGAGAAAGAGAGGGCAACAAAACCGCAAAAGCTACAGGACTCTCAGAGGCAGTTCCGCCAGGTAGTCTTATCATAGGACCACGTGTCCAGTCAGAAAGACACACACACCTAGGCATAGACTGAATGCTCGAGAGGAAAGTCAGTTCTTGTAGGGCTTGTATTGAGAGGGGAAAAAGAACTAACAAAAAACCTGATGATACCGAATAAACTGTTCTTTGGTTAAAGGCCTAGTGCCGAAAGCTATCTTTGAACTGTTGACGTTTTTTCCTGCTACATGTTTTTTGAATGGCTGTGACCGAAGGCAACTGACTGTTATTTCATAATACCATCAAATGCTTCTGCATGTTTGCTTTGCTTGTGGCTTTGGTGCTGTAAAAGACAAACTAATTTACAAACGTGAAAGAAAGAAATATAAACACCACAGCCACTGCTTACCTAACATTATTGGATGCTTAGACTAGGGTCTCTTTAACTAAAATACCACTGACATCTAACCCCTACACACTCCAATGCCTGTGACACTTCAACTTCCCTTGTAAGTCAGGATGCTTCTCTGTTTAACCCATTTTTGGACCCTTTCCCTGTATACCTCTCGGAGGAATCTGCAAACCTTGGCCTCAATGCCCAGGGTCCACAAATCCACTAAGTCCCCATTATCCTGTGGATGCCTTCCCAAAATTGTACCTCCTCTATTCCTCCTGGAGCCTCCTTTGGTTATGAGTACTGGTTGGTTGCACTCACTCTGCGCAATACTCACTCTAAAACGTATAATCTTACTGTTCCTCACCTTCACTCTCCTTTCCTTCTTACAGTCTATTTAAAGTGATTTTTTTCTATATTCTCACCCTCAAGACAGATAGTTTTTTTGTATGTGTGCCTTTAGTATTTTCACCTATATATGTAGTTTCTGTGTCTTTGATAATCTATCATGATTAACTGTAGATCCCAGTAGTATGATTTGAAACATGCTTAGAAATTTTGATTCCCTATGTTGACAATCAGTGTGTTTTGGCATCTTTGTTTGCAGGCTAATGGAAGTGCTAAGAGATCTGGAGGAGATCCCAAATCCACTTCTCCTACCGTGCCTGCTTCTAAAATTCCTGCTTTTTCCTCTAGTACGGGAAAAGGCTTGTCCCAGTCTGATTCTACTAATATTGTTAATTCTTCTTCTCCTTTATCTTCCTCCCTTCCCACTAGCAAATCTTCTATCCCTCCTCCTCGATCCAGTTCCACCCCCTCCTCTCATATCCCCTCCCTTTCTAATGGTTCTTTTAAATTTGCCCCTCCCACTCACAGCACTAAAGGCCTCTCTATTCCCACGCAGACACAAAACGGTCGACCTTCCTCCTCTTCTTCCTCTTCCTGTTCCCACTCCCCTTTGTCCCCGACTATGTTGAGTCAGAGTGTGAAGAGTATCCGTACCATTCACACACCCAGCTTCACCAGCTACAGTCGGCCACACAACGGAAATGCCGGTAAATCAGCTATTCCCACGGTAACTCTCGCTAAGGATGCTGCATAGAATGCTTCGCTGCTTCGCAACCATTTATGTATCTCTTAATGAGGTGGAGTCACTCCTGATTTTACTTTGATTCATTTTTAAGTTACGATTTTATTTGTTTGAACAGATAATATTGTTCTATCAGAGTGAACTTTGTTTTGGCATGACTTTGGTTATTGCATGTTATTATTTTCTCTGTTAAAGTGAAAGGCCATCATCCATTAATCAGTGTTTTAAACTTGAATCTCTGCAAATCATAAACATATAAAAATATAAACTGTTTTATTTTAAAACTAAAGAAAACAATTTGATTGCAGAGAGCAGGCTCTTGATCAAGGATTTTACAGAGCACTTCATTTGAAAAGAATATTTATTTTTCATACAAGTTGAGAGACTAAAAAGTATTCTAGTCAGTAGTAAAAGTATGTAAACAATGTTTTGGTTATTAGTATCCTCTAAATGATTGTAGATGTTTTTTTAATTTTTTTTTAAGTTGACATTTTTTTCTTTAAGTTGTAGCCATAATAAGTGAAAAAGTACTGTAAGTATATTAACCATTAATACAATTTGACAAACATTGTGTCTGTTTTTTTTTCTTTCTCTCATGCACTGCCAATGTCTTTAAGATTTATCATTATAAATTGACAACAGTTTTGCAGTCTTTTCAGTAGTTGTGCCTATTTGCCAAAGTTTGTATTTTACATCTTTACAACTGACTATATATTATGTGTTAGACATTTAGGATAGGATATACCTGGCTTAACCTACCTATGTCACAGTTCCTTGATTTACTCATGCAGTTTATGGCTCTTAAATTAATGAGTATTGATGTCTAAATGTAAACTAAAATTGTAGTGATTGATACAATTGCTCTCTACTTCACATGTACATACTGTAACATCTCTATTTCAGAGATTGTGTTTAGTTTTGTTAACATATTGTACCAAAGTTTATTTCTATGCATGCCTATACAAAACTGTAGAAAGAGAGAATGTAATAGAAAAAATCATGCTTGCACAGACAGATTTTGTAAATAAATGTTTTTTTTGGTTTTGTATAGCTTTAATTGCAGAAGCAATCTGTGCAAAAGAGTGTAGGTATTAAAGTTCTGCATGCTTGTTGTTCACATGGCCTCTCGGCTATGGTTTCTCCACTGAAACACTGCAAATCCTTCTATTAAACATTTTGGCAGATAGTTCAGCTGACTTGTGTTTTTTATCCTATATATTTTCTTTTACATTTGCATAGTAATGACATTCAGTACACATGTTGTGAACTCTCTACTGGTCAAAAATTTAGACAAGCTTTATTGAATGTATGTACTGTTTGCTGTAGTCAAAAGGTTTTTACATTTAGGAATCTGAAACAAAGTTTGAAGATTTAATTTGTTTTGATTTGTTTAAAATATTGGGGAATTTCCCTTGCTTCCATTTGTGTTAATGTATAGTTTCATTGGCAATAATATTATACTAAAAATTGTAGTAATACAGAATACATGTACAATGGAGATCAAAATTAAAGAACAATTTATGAACGTCATCATTCAAAATTTGAAGTAATTTTAGTTGTGGCTATACCATGTGTCACGTTACGCTGTTGAGGGAGCACGCAGGAGGCACGAGTAAACGAGAACTTTCTTTAATCAAGGAAACATAGAAGATAATCCACAATAGGAGCTGGGCAAACACACGTAGAAACAAGTAGACCTGACAAACACAAACTGAACAGACTAGGACTTTTAAACACAGGGCAATCAGGGGAACACAGGTGACATCAATGGAACATAAACTAAACAAGGACAGGAACATGACCAAATAAGGAAACACAGGAAGGACTACGGGGCAAAACAGGTCCAAAAGTCTGACATTTCGCCCCCTTCCAGAAGGTGCGTCCTCGCACTGTAACAACAGAGGGAGGCATAGGTGGGAGCTTGGGAGGAGGTTCAGGAGGAGGATGGACACCCGGGAGGGGGCCGGCAGACAGAGACCAGGGAGGCGACAAAGGAGGGAGGAGACAGGGAGGAAACAGGAGGAGCCCAGATGGAGCGGAGCAAAGCCGGACCCAGG